TCCAGAAGCCGGCGACTCATCTGCCCCGCCCGGGAAGAGTGCAATGATGGTCCCAACTTGGGCCAGTGAAGCGGCATCCTCCACAACTAGACTGGGGAACAAGACGACAGCAACTTGTCTGTTCCCCTCTCCCCAATTCCCCAGCACTGTTCCCATCCCCCCAATTCCCCAATAAAAATCTTTAAAAAACAAACAAAAAAAACCAAGTGGAGATGAAGGATATATTCACAAAAAGACTAGTGTGATCTGGAGCATAGAGTTTTTTGAAGAAGGTAATGGAAGATAAGGCTAGAAATAATTTGGGGCCAGTTCTTAGAAGGTCCTGAATACATGGTAGGGAATTTGGACTTTAATTTTATAGGTACGTTTTTGAGAAGAGGAGTGACTTCCAACTCATAATTCTAGTGACAGTGGGAAGACTGAAAATTGGTGACATTACTAAGCTTTGCAGTAATTCATGCAAGAGACTATTAGAGCTTGAAAACAGAGCAGGAAAGAGAACAAGACATCCAGGGAGAAAAACGGACAGGCCTTCATAACTGAATAGATCCACTCAGCCAACATTTATAGCTTACCTTGCCAGTGCCAAGAATTGGAATAGGTATTTGAGATATACAAATAATTGAGAAACAAGTCTTCAAAGGAATTTGAAGCTTAGTAGATGCACTTGAACAAATAATGGGGACTACAGAACAGTATGTTACTAATAGGCAAGGAATAAGTACAATGGGACAATGAGGAGGAAAGGTGTCAACCACCTACCTGGTAGGACACAGGAGGGAAGGCTTCTCAGGTATCACTGGAGCTGAGTTCTGAACAGAATCAGATATTGGCTGTGAGGAATGGGGAGAACAGCTAAATTAAGCATTTACTGTGAGTCAGACAGTATTGTAAGCAATAATCATCCCAACTTTATAGAAAGGCACTATTATCATCTCCATTTTCTATGTGGGGAAACAAAGGACAAAATTCTTACAGCAATTAGAACTGGAATTTGAACCCAGAAAGTCATTCCAGAGCCTGAGCTCCTAACCACTACACTTAACAAGGGGCATGTAACCAAAGATGAGTCACAGATAAAGACAGGTTTCTAGTCCGTGTGAATGAGAAGACCGTGTTATTAACCTAAATAGGGAGGAGAGGACGAGCAGGTTTCAGGGATGAAGTAATGAACTCATTTGGGGAACATTGGATTGGAAGTACAGTACTTCCATATAGAGCTGTTTAGCCAGTAATTGGAAATGTAGGTCTGGAGCTTAAGAGCAAGAAGTTAGGGTTAAAGATGTGGATTTAGGAGTTACCTGCCCAGAGTTAATGAAGAAATTCTAGGAATTAATATAAACATTAAAGGAAAGAACATGAAGAAACCAAAGAATGAGACCTGGGGGAATTCCAGGAGTAACTAGAACAAAATCTGGAAAATAGATAAATGATCAAGTTGGTTAATGCATCAGCATTTTTAATAAGTAATTTTGAAGTAATGAATCATTTAAATGTGGCTCATAAACTAGCTGTGAAGGAGTTCCAGAAACGTTTTGTACAATGACAGCATTCCTGAAACAAGTGTCAGTTGAGATCATTTTAGCTTAAGTCCTCTAATGATTTGCTTTACTGGATAAACTGCAGAGATCCAAGCCTCTTAACATTCGGAACAAGTCAACAACTTGGAAGGGGCTTATATTAAGTTCTTGTGTGTTAGATTCCCCCACATCAGCTTTTTAGTTACATAAAAGCAATTCTGATTAAGATCTGAGAACTTGTAGCTTTGATCAGTATAGGGTGGCGTTAGCTAGTTGTTGGTTATGAGATAGACAGAAGCTTCACGAGAGAAGGAATTAGGCTATCACATGGAAACGCACAGCCTGATTAGATTGGGGTATCTTACTGGGAGGAATTAAGGATTAAAAAAATGGGTGATTTAGGCAAAGTGTATTGATAATAGGAGCATGTATTTAATCAGATGGGGCGCTGAAGTTCCTGGACCTGGGAATAATATGAGGAAAGCAGTGTTTTAAGAGGTTTAAGTGTGGCAAAAGTGGGGCACTTGCAAGGTTACTGGAGAAAAAAAATGTCAGATATTTCTTAAGGTTCGAAACTAGATGGAATTAAGAATGGTAGTAGCATAAATGGAAAAGATTGAGAATGTGATTCTGGAAAAGGAAGAGAAGTTTTATTTGTGTTTTAGATGACATTAGGTCAGCTATGCAGACATATAGACAGTTGGAGATAGAGGACTATGTATGGTTTGGCTGGGAGGCCATGTCTTGAACGGTGGCGTGGGATTTTTTTCTTGGGAAGAGGGAAAAGAATTAAGTTTTAGTAGAATTCCACAGGAGGGAGAAAAATGAGATGGAGAAGGTGTTCTAAGAGAAAAACAGTGTCTCTGAAATCCATTAAGAAATCAATGGTTTCAAACAGTAAAGGTTTCTACCATGGGGTATTAAGATAGTATGGAGCTCTGGAGGCAGAGGGTATACATTTTATTCAAAAAAGGAAGTAGAAAGCAAGGTTTGGAAGTGTCAAGTGAAAGTGTAGTTTTATTTGTTCTGAAATAAGGATTGATTCAGTGGAGTGGAATTTGAATGTGTTATGGAAGGTTTATTTACAGAAGGTTCCCTAGGAGGCTGAAATGAGTGAGATTGCAAGCTTAGATGGAAAAGGTTATTTAAGGGCAGATAGATGAACAAGGCCAAATACTGAATCAGAAATTAAAGAATACCAGTGTAGAATGTAATAAATATGTAAGAATGGTGAGAGAGACGTGGGCCTGATCATGCAACACAAAGAAAGAGATAGGATTTGGGATTTGTTGGGATAGAAGGTGAAGGATGAAAGAATTGGTGAATTGGGGTGGGCTGTGGGCATGGTAAAAATGTGAAATTATCTACGGTTCATGAAAGTTCAAAGCCTGGGCCTCTTGTCCTCTAAAACTACAAGGGAAGCATTTGAGAGCAAAAGGTAGGATCTCCCAAATACCAAACAACCTCTGTTTCTCCTTCTCAGTTCAGATCCTCCATTTTGTAAACCTTGGAGCCTTCTTCCCTTCACAACATAGTTGTCGGTTGCCCTCTGCTGGTCCTGTTGGTCTTGGCTCTCCAGGTATTTAAATCTGAGAGCATGTGCAAAATAGGATGGTAGAAAGCTGAGCACTGAGCTAATTAGATTCTATTATAGTACATATTTGATCACATCTATATGTAAGACCTAGTACAGGAGCTGCATATAAATAAAATACATAGTCCTAACTCCCAAGAAGTTTAGAGTCCAGTCTGAGTGAAGATTAAAACATTTTCATATAACTACTGTAAAAACATCCTTTTACTCAACAAAATTCTTTTTTTTTTTATTGAGACGCTTATATGTGCCAAGAATTTATATCTACAGAGGAAGAAAGACTTCACATGATAAGATTAGGGCGTAGGATGTGGTGAGTGACAGGTGGTTAGAGAAGACTCCCCAGGAGAACCAACATTTAAGTGGCGACTGAGTAGAAGGTGAAGATGAGAAAGATTATTGCAGGCAGAGAACAGCATGAACAAATACTATACTAGGAACTAAAAGAATGCCATGAGTGGAATGTAGGGAATATGGAAGAGTGGAGAGAGAAAAGAGACCAGGTCATGAAACACCAAAAGCAGCTATGGAAAGGTTTAAGGTCTCCGGCCACAGTGTGCATGCTTTAGTGCAGCTTTGCATATTCTAACTTCTGTAGTCCTCACGATGACCCCTATTTTCCAAATAAAGGCTCCAGCAAGTGGTGGGTCCAGTCTGCACTCACTCCTGAGAAAAATGGACAGATTTGAGACATTTAAGAGGTAGAATATAATCTGTTTTTTTTTTAATTTTTGCAGAGTCGTGTCAAAGGAGATGACTTGCATGCAATGTAGTGGTTGGTGGTGGTAGCCTGATAGGTTCGAGCTGGAGTAATCAAGAGCATTCAAGGGGAAGGGGTAAAAGGATGTGCAGATGGAAAGTGATCATAGTGTGGGGTGAAGGGGGGGAAGGAGACAGTGGTGAGGGTGATCTTGGAAAGAACAGCATGAGCAATGGTATGAAGGCGGGTAACTCCAAAGTATAAATGTGTAGAAAGCGCTATGAATTACCCTTAAACCCCCTGTCCTTTGGGGATTCTTTTTGGAGAAGATGCTGCCGTACAAGAAATACAAAAAGAACATCCTCCACAAGTGTCCTAAATATTCCTCACAATCAAACTGTGGGATAGGAAAAACCAGGGGAAGTGAGTACAGCAGCGTGACCGGTTAGAAAAGGGATTAATTCCCTAGCTTGGTTAATACACGGAGAACTACCTGACACTTAATGAGCACTCAATAAAAAGTGATAGTTATCTTCCCACACTAGCTCCAGCTCGATCTGCAGTGTTTGTTTCAATAGGTTCCTCTCCCTAGCCCTGTACCTGAGGTCCACCTCCTCGAGGAAATCCAAATGAGAGAATGCCCTGTTTCCTGGGTCTTCATTTATAATCAGACCTACAAGATGTGACTTCTGGTCATGAAATCCAGAGGTGCCCTCTTTTCCTGCAAACTCCAGTTTTGACTCTTACAGCACAACAGACATTTACATTCCCAAACAAAACTTAAACCTTCTTCAACCAAATCCTTTGCTATTCCCTCCCAAAGGCATGAAACAATTTTTGCTAAAAATAGAATGCTGAAATTACCTTGTATCCTAGCAGCCCTTAAGGTAGTGCATAATTAAGCTTCCGTGATCACCCTCATTCCCCCAAATCCAAAGGAAACCTTCCGGCTTCTGTTTCCCAAACAGAAAGGGAAGTGCACGAAAGGCACGTACGAAAACCAGGGATTCCCTTTACACTTCCTTGAAGTGGAGGGTGGAGAAAAAGCGAACGTCACGAACAGGATTCGAACCTGTGCGGGGAAACCCCATTGGATTTCGAGTCCAACGCCTTAACCACTCGGCCACCGTGACTTCCAAAACCGCGCTCCGCCACACACTTACAGAAGGGGTTGGCATTGCGGGAAAGCGGTGGCCAATTCACATACCCATGCACACACACATCCTGTGAGCCCCCTGCCCCCGCTTCTTACCTCTCCTCTACGCCACTCAAAGAAAAAGAGAGGGTCCCCCGCCCAGCGAAGATTCCGGGTCTGAAGGAGTGCAAAGCTATTTAGGAGGTGATTGGCGAGACCTGCAGAGGAAGCACTTGGAGGGAAGGGGCTGGGCACCGAGGGTGGCGGCTAGGGGACTCCTCGGGTTTTGGAGTGAAAAGAGTGCTGGGAAAAGACATTAGGGGTGGGGGAAACTCAGGGTTTAAACCGGGAACTCCTGGAGTCGGTTGAAAGGACGGAACATCTTGGGGAAAGAGGCCTGGGGTTCCTTGGGATTAGGAGGTCCGTGGGGTTAGGAATGTGCGAAGTGACGACCACTTGGAGTTGGGGGCGCCTCAGGCGACGGGCATCCCACTAGGACAGGATAGAGGTGCCACTTGCAGGGCTGAGAGGCAAAAAAAAGA